ATATATATAAAATACAATATTAATATGTAATATCCATTCAATCAATTTTAATGAACTGATATTCTTTGTGAAAAAGGTATGAGTTGTTCCTCCTTTCCATCCTTGATGATATCCAAATAGATCTACAGATCAAGTGAAAACTCTTTCTCTCTCTTAATGACTAAATATTCTTTTATAAGAGGTCAGTGAGTTTGATTCCAAAGAGGTCTTTTGGAGCACATGGAGCCCAAAACAAAATACCTGTGTACAATTCTTTAAAGGAACTCTGTTTTCCTAGGTTCATACAGCTACCCTCTAGAGCTGTCCAGTGATCACAGGAAAAGGCACAGCTGTTTTAAAGAGCTATAGACAAATATCTACACTCTCCAGAGCACCTTTTTTTAGAATCAAACCCAAAATATTGCACAACTCTACTTTATAGTCCTTAAGGATCAACCACTGTGTACTTGGGTAATTAAATTCTCTGATAGTATGGATATAGAACCGTATTATTGATATCCCATATCAGATTCAAAAGTCTATATTTTTTGAAATTTTCATAATTTCAAATTTGACTGTATTTAGCAGAGCACTGCGTGCTGAATTTGCCAGTTTTTCCTACACAGAAAAATCATTCAGATAATGGATTCTGCAGGAGACCCATGATATTTTTGGTTCCCCAAAAAGATGCTAGACTGCTTGAACACTGCATGGTGTAGTGCAGACCATCTGCTTGAGTTTATCAAATGACTGTTGCCTTGGAAATATGACTTCTATTATTTCTTCTTGATAATACTTTAATGTAGATTAGTTGTTGCACTTTGCTCTGGCCACAAGATCTGATCAGCTGCTATATTTAGAAAATGAAATGTACCAGATTCAGCAATATCTGGGTCAAAGAAGTTTGTCCTAGGGCTGTGGTACTGAGAATCATAACATGAGATGCTTGAATGGGCATTCAGCTGAGTAGCACATTCATTACAAAACTTGTATTGTTGCGTTTGAAACACACTCCATACTATGCAAGGATATTTGCTATGTGGTTGACAAGGATATATTTGCCAGTAGTAATAGTAATGAAAATAAGTGAATAGACTTTCCAGTTTTTGTTATTGAAAGGCAGATAATTTAATTGGCAGCCAATGCTGGACAATGAGTACAAAATAAAATAAATTTGTGAGTAATTATTCCTCATAATTTGTAACTTTGATTATATGCTGCCTTTCTTTTACCCAAGAAAGATTCAGGAATATTATGTAGGTTTGAAGCAAAGAATTATCATGTTTGCTTTAAAATACAATTCCTACATTCTTCTGTTTTTTTATTCCCCAAGCAACAGCAATTTTACTATTTGTATGAAAAATAGAATTTGGAATTGTACATCCTAATATTACGAAACAGCTTCTATCTCCTGGCCCGTGAAAATCACCTCTTATTTTTAAAAGGAAGATCAGAAGAATTCCTGTGTGTATAACATTAATTAATTTTCAATATGTGTCTTTTTAAGCCACTGGTATAATTGAAAGCTTATTCTAATGCTGAAGATACAGCTTTCAAATACAAGGCAATGGAATTAAAGTATAACATGCTTCGAGCAGATTGGTGTCAGGTGTTGTGGCTTTGATGCTAAAGTCTTCAACTCCCAGCACTGAACATCTTATAACTATATTAGTTATCATATTATTTTTCCAATATTATGTCCCACGTTTTTCCCCAAGAAATTTAAGGAATGTTATATGATCCTCCTCGCCAGTATTATTCCTACCATAGTTCTGTGAACTAAGTAGCCAAAGAGAAGTACTGTCAGGACCAACATCGCTCAGTGGGTTTTATGGCTGAGTGGAGATTTGGATTTGAATTCCCTACCTAGTTCATTTCTAACAATTGTGTTAGAAGAATGGAACAAAATTATGTCAGAATAAATGGCATCTTCTTACATGCTGCTGATTTCAGCACTGCTGCCTGCAACCAGATTACCCTGCTAAGATCCCTTTGTATTTGAAAAGGCTGAACAGAGAGCTCACTGGCCATGACTATTTTCATCCTAGGGCTTCTATTCTGTTCAGATGTTATTTGCTGTATACATTCAAAATGTAAAATATATTTTAAAAAATGTGTTTTCTGTATATTTCTGATTAATGTGACCTTATTTCCTCATGTAGCAGTGAAGGATAACAGACCATAGCTCAAATCATCTTCCCATAGGAATGTTTTTTTCCATAGTTTTTGTCCTCTGCACAAATTGGCAATTGGATATCATATTGGTTACTCTATGAGGACAGAGGTTTGTTTGTCCCAATTATTTCTATACTCCTGTTCCACATGTTCATTGTTAGTATTTCTGTAGGGCATAAGCATTCTTATCTTAGACTGATTCATAGGAGATATCTGTATGTAATGTTCTGTGGCAAATAGTCTTCTTCCATATTTAGAGAAGCCAGACCAATTTTCTCAGTGACAACACCTTTATAACCATTCATATATCACGTTTGATAGCTAGAAAGTCCATTTGGATTCACTTTTTTAATCTAATTGATTTGTTTTTAAGATTCCTTATATGTTTGTTTTTTTTAAATTAGAGTACAAATAATTAAGGTCCCATGCTGACAATAGAATTATAAACAAGTTTGCCTACAAATTGTAGTTCACCATTATTTCTTTCTATTAACATCCTGTGATTGCAAAGTTTGGTTATTATTTACTTAATTACAAGGACCCATATTAACTTTAATAGAATAACATTATCGAAAAAATAGATATGGCCCTTTCTGTTAGAACCTTCCTCATAAACTGCTAATAGCTACAAAACTCAGTGCTTACCAAAACATGTACACCATTAATGGTTGTTTCAAATGTAGGGCTTTTTGGTAGTCAAATATCTGAGGAAAATGTAGTTGGAGGGTTGCATGTTTGTTTTGATAATTTCCAAAAATGTAGCCCTTCAAAAGTAT